TAATATAAACACAAGTTTTGTTGTCTTAGAATTAGCTTCATAACGGTCAGACATAGTTCACAGCACACAATGCCGTGGATATACCGGCGCCTATCAAGGAGTTTGAAAAGTTGTTTTCTCCAGTATGTTAGATAAAACTACGTCAGTAGGTAATCGTATTTCACACGTTTAAAATAAACTTCACTTTATTACTAAGGTGATATATTAATTAGAAAAATTGCGTGATGAGTCTGCTAACCGAGGCCAAAATCCCCGGGAAAACCCACTTGTTCTAGAACTTTCCAAATCCGGGACAGAACGAAAATATAATTAAACTCGAAATGTCTTCGAAACTACGGTTTATAATGAACGGAATCTAATTATGTTTAATTTATTTAAGAGGTATTTGCCCCTCGTTCACAATTTTTGCATTTTATATGCGCGCGAAAAATTGTATTTACGGTTTACGCATGTGGGTATATTATATTGTAGTGTGTGTTTGTGACGAAACGGTCAGTTGTAAGGTTGTGAGCGAGGTTATGCGTTCCGAGCATAAAACTTAACACACATACATACAAAATACAAACATTATAGTATTATTTATATATTACCTCTTCATTGTATAGAGATGGTTTGAATCAACATAAATCCGGACTGTGAAAAAAATGTAATGTAAATCCGTAGTCTCCGGCACAAACCCAGACAGGCAGCCCTAGTTTTAATAACGAAGAGAAGTTACAATACGCGCCTGTGAATAGCTAGAACAATGCATAATGTGTACGCAAAGTAATAACTAGTAACCATAGCATAGAAAATTCCTCGTATTATAGTTGGAGGCCAAGTAAAAATAGCACTGAATTTATTTATCATTTACCAAAGATTTGTAACATAATTTTAAGTTTACGTACTCGGTAGATTGATGAAGTCAGACAATAAAGATTTTCGCGTCATTTTATTGGATAGATTCTTTCAATGCGATGTCTTATGAAGTGTTTTTATGCGTCATTAGTTGAAAAAATTATCTTACCTAGTATTAATAATAAGGTTACCATAAGGTCTCAAAACGCGGTTCAGTGTAATGTAGTTTTATTGATTCAGGTTTTCAAGAAAAATACATTCATACAACTAGATGTCGCTGTAATATTTTATACAATCTTTGAGTGTTGTTTAATTCAACGCATAGATGGCGTGTTACTGGTATTATGAGTTGAAATGTTAATAAAAAAAAAACATTGAGGTTATTTTATTTTACAAAATAATCAATACCAATACCAATACATTTAATTAACGTTTGATAACAATTATTATAAAATAACTTTGTCGATACCACGTTTCACGTTCATAATTTTGAAAGAATTAATATTTTATTACCGTCTTTGTTAATATATACTGTTATGTAGCATTGACCCCGTAGTTTTTACGATATTCCAACGCCATAAATTATAGCGACTGTTGCTAGGCCTACTTTTTCAAGGTTATCAGAACGAAGTCTATGAAAGCGTGTAAAAGAATGCCTAACACTACATTTATGTAGGTACTTATTTGTGCAAAGTACACATATTCATAGTAAAATAATATAATTGCACTGCGGTATTAATAAGTAAGATTAGGATTTAATAGTCATTATTGTCTCAATTAACACCCTTTTAAAACTTCTTAAAAATATAACTTTGTAAAAAGATGTTTATATATATTTTTTTTCATAACATATAGAATTGATATAATTTGTATTTAGGAACAAGTATCCGGAGTAGGTTATTGAAAAGGCATAGAAAATCTAATACAGCTGCGCTGCGCGATGCGCGATAATTTGACAACACTCCTGCCATCTGCATAAATATTGTTAAACTAATACGTAATGTTGCTTGCTTAAAATAAAAATATTTTTTTGGTAGATTATTTAAATTATCAATAATGTAGGAAAACAATTTGCAACAATTAATTTAAGACAACGCTTACTTTATTAGGTAATTTTGAGTACACCTAAGTACAAAGTACTTATACAGTATAAAAGGTCTTTGAAATTGTGTTGACTTCAAAAGAACACTTTAATAAATATCACTAGATTTGTTGAATCTTGAAAGTGTTACGATATATCAGACATTTGCTTTAAAAGCGGGGGGAGTATTTGAAATGAAATATAGAAATTAAAAATGTAGAAAACGTTTAATGAGGTTTTTATTTCATCGTTTTAATAAAAAAAAATCTGTACTTATATGCCGACGTTAATTCTTTTTACAATTAAATTAAAGGACCCATGATCATCATGGATGAAATAAAGTTGGAAGCAAAGTACGTACGAACTGTATGATATATTTATATTTTTCCTCGTTTCAGTTTTCCTAAATTTCGAGTTCCTTGCAAAAAGACTTAAAAATATAACTCTTTCATAGATTCACGGTTTTTATGTACATTTAATACTAAACAATTGATAAAATTGGAGTTGCGTTGTTTTTAACAATTTTTTTCTTTCCATAAATCTGCTTGTGTGTTTAGGAAATTGTCTTGATTTTAATTTAAGCCCTTTGTAAGCCTTGGCTTCGTCTACTCTCTATTTTGTCAAAAATTTCAATGATTAGCGATCATTCAAATTTTTACTTTGTTATGAAAGCCTTCAAATATTAACATTAGTATTGTAAAGAATGTTGATGTATAATTAGATTTATAACAGGCGCCTTTAACTGCAAAACAAGAGCATAATTATTTTGAGAAGTTCTTGGTAGGTTTTATACTTCATCAGTAGTTTTTTGGTGTTAAAACACAGCAACATTGTCAGATGTGCCGTCTCCTGTGAGCAAATCGTTCGCTCGATCTCGCTCTGTCGATCGGGTCAGCTAGTGGAGGCCATTTTATTCTTGTGAATGTAACTAAGTATTTTTGATTTTAGTTCAAAAGCAATAGTGTAAATGTGTGCCTGCATTAAGTGGCTTTTGTGACGTGTGTTTGTGCTTAAAAATAGAGGATGTACGTGTTTCAAATGAAATTGTGTTGACCTGCCCATTTTTACACGGTCGCCCAAGCAGGGATCGATTAGTGCAAGGCAGCCTCTAGTATCGAGGAATCGAGGCGTTGTAATAGTTTCTTAAGTCCGCCATGGGCAACAATGCTGCCACCGCCAACAAGAAGGTGGATGCCGCCGAAAGCGTCAAAGAGTTCCTCGACCAGGCTAAGGAAGACTTCGAAGAAAAATGGAAAAAGAACCCTACCAACACCGCCGGACTGAATGATTTCGAGCGAATCAAAACGCTCGGTACGGGTTCTTTCGGCCGCGTCATGATAGTTCAACATAAGCCCACAAAGGAATATTATGCTATGAAAATATTAGACAAACAAAAAGTAGTCAAATTGAAACAGGTCGAACATACGTTAAACGAGAAGAGAATCTTGCAGGCGATCAATTTCCCTTTCCTTGTAAGTCTTAAGTTCCATTTCAAGGACAATTCCAACCTGTATATGGTCTTGGAGTATGTTCCCGGCGGAGAGATGTTCTCCCATTTGAGGAAAGTAGGTCGCTTTTCCGAGCCCCATTCGAGATTCTACGCTGCACAAATAGTGTTAGCATTCGAATACCTACATTACCTCGACCTCATATACCGAGATCTCAAGCCTGAGAATTTGTTGATCGACTCTCAGGGCTACCTGAAAGTAACCGACTTCGGTTTCGCCAAGAGAGTCAAGGGCCGCACATGGACTTTGTGCGGAACACCCGAGTACCTCGCACCGGAAATCATTCTGTCCAAAGGCTACAACAAGGCCGTGGACTGGTGGGCGCTGGGGGTCCTTGTGTACGAGATGGCGGCAGGTTACCCGCCGTTCTTCGCCGACCAGCCCATACAGATTTACGAGAAAATTGTGTCAGGTAAGGTCCGCTTCCCTTCACACTTTGGTTCAGATCTGAAAGATCTTTTACGCAACCTTCTACAAGTAGATTTGACAAAACGATATGGCAACCTCAAGGCTGGTGTTAATGACATAAAAGGACACAAATGGTTTGCTAGCACCGACTGGATAGCTGTTTTCCAGAAGAAGATTGAAGCACCATTCATCCCTCGCTGCAAAGGGCCTGGTGATACAAGCAATTTTGATGATTACGAAGAGGAGGCACTGCGTATCTCATCAACAGAGAAATGTGCAAAAGAATTTGCTGAGTTCTGAGCTATTAGTTGGTGCCTGTATGTGGGCAGGCCCGAGAAAGAGCATTCGGTACTTGTGAATCTGTGAATGTTGTCACAGCAGTGATGTGTGCATTCTATAGCTGATGGTCTTGGGTTGTTATAGACGTTAATGCGCCCCCAAGCTGTCACTTTCACAATGGAGTGCAAACAACATGATAGTTGTACTGATTTCTGATATTTTGGTGGAGTTAATTTGCTTAGTGTCCTTTTGTTTTGATAGAAGAGTGGATAAGGGAAGGTATACCTTGTCTAAGTGATATCCCCATGATGTACCAATGGTGTAAATTACATAATTTTGTGCACACAGTTTTTAATTCAATTGTTTACAATAGCACTGATAAGCTTTGACATACATGTTTGTTTTTTTAAATCATTCAAAATTAGGCTATGTTAATTGATGATGTTTTTATTATTACTTTTAAGAACAAGATGTTTGTCAGATCGTTGTTTAGTATTGCACTATTGAATTGGTAAGCTATTTCAGTCACTTTACAGCTTTAGTGTTAAATTCAATGTAACTAAGTCCTCAAGGAATGTTCTAGTGTAGGTTTTAACTTTTTTTTTGACCTTTTGTTAATATTTTTAATTTATAAAATGTTTTGTTGAAACAATTGATATTTTATTAGGAGCCAGTAACTGTAACATGAGAGATTAATTTATTTTTTGTGTAGTCATGTTCAGTTGTGCTATTCAACCATGTTTATGATCTGTTGTAAGGATATGTTTGGTATTTAAGTTTAATTTGTATAGTTCCTTAATTAAGATGCAAGTTCATTCTGTTGATTGGCAGCATTTTTATCATCTGCTGTAACACTTATTGCTAACAACAGTTGTCAAAAAGCAATAACTTTAGATTTTTATTATATTTAAATCAGTGTTCAATATACAATTATATTAAGCACAAAGTTGATGAGAGAAATATTTTACATTTAATACATTAACAATTTATAGATATTGTCCCATATTTTATAGGAAATATTGTCATTTTAGTCAATGTTGCCAGATTTTGAATAAAAATTTCCTTTTTGTAATTATCAGGCTGGTGTTACCAATAGGTGTATAATTAGTGTATTAATTTTGGCACAGCTGATCTTGAATGTACTTTGAATGGTGAAGGTATTGCTGGTTCATCATATTGTTTTTTTTTTAGCTATTAGATGTAGGAATTTGAATCCAGGCTGTACAAATAATTATTTAGTTATTTGTAGTGAATTTTACATTGTGAAAACATTGTGTGTTTGTGGTTTAGAGTCATTAGTATGAATTTCCTAATGTTACTTAACAATTTGGTATGTATTCAGCTCATATTGCTAAAGAGAAGTACATAGCTACATTTAGAGTTCATATAACATTTAAATTGTCTAAAAAATGATTTAAATATTAGTCATATCAGAGTTACTACTTAAAATATTTATTCTAAATATGTCCATCTATGTAGGTTTAGCATTTGACCAAACGCTTTCTCTGTGTATATGGTATTTGTATCACATTAAGAGTTAATATTCTACACGCTAAGTTCTTGCTTATTTCAGTATCTTGTGGAAAATGAATAACATTTTGAGAGTTACTTTTTAATATAAAAAATTAACTTTTTTTGCGACTTAACTATATTGTTATACCGGTGCCATAGATGTTTTAGATGTCAATGTGTAAATATATCTTTAAGGTATTACTTTTTTGTTAATTTTATTACATTAATATATTTTTGCATCACAGTACTGGCCGCTATCGCTTCAAGATTGCACAGTTTGTAATTCGCTTTACGCAACTCAAACTGTTAGAATAAATTAAAATTGTCTGGATTATAAAATCTTATACTATACAAGAATATATCGTAAAGGTTAAAATTGACAGATAAATATAGTAATATATTGTAGTTGATATTAACTACTAGACAATTGTGAAATCTTTAATAGTAATAAGGAGTTTAAAGCTGTTTATTTTATCTGTGTAAAAGTGAAATTAATTTATTTCTTGAAGTTTTTTAAGTGTTTGTGCTAAAGCTATTGATATTTGGTCACAGCAAGACATTTTTAAAGCATTCATATAGAGATAAGTTTTTTTTTTTCAATAATATTGATCCATCAGACAGAAAGAGTTCATCTCATGCAAATGATTCAGATGTTACTGTTTTTATCAGATGGGTTGATATCTAATATTGTTGATTATCATTGTATATAAAATTAGAGTGAATGTGTTCCCATTAGGATTTTCAATATCAGCTTTTCGGTATGTGCAAATCTTCATTCCATTAGTGACATACTCATTTTCATGAATCTGACACTGTTATGTGAACTTAACCATTTTCAATTTAAAAATACATGTGACCTTTTGTGTAATCGAGATTCTTTTATAATCTGTGTAACTTAATGTTATAATGTTCACGATTAGATCTATTGTATCGAGTGCCTATAGCATTGGTTCAAATGTAAAAATTCAGTTGATTTCAATAATTTGTCACCATGTATTGATCTTCCATAAATTACGATGAAATTAAAAATATCGATGTAACAGTATACATGTTTGTTTGATTTTAACTACCTGATGTTTTATTCTGTTTTATAGTTATAGGTTAAGAGTGGGCGAACACCTGAAACTATTGTAAAACTGTTGTGCGATTGTCGATTGTTTCGCAGCCAACTGAACTGTTTGCACAACTAAAAATCGAGTAGTGTGCGCCTTCATATAACCTCAACAGACAACAGTTGTGATAGTTTAGTTTCAAGTGTACGCACGCTCTATCAGTTATGCCCTTTTTATACTACAGTTGGAATAAGCTATAATTTGTCCTTATTTTCATATTTTTTTTAGTACATGGTGTCAAACTAACCGCCAAAATACCAACCATTGACCATAGATATTCGCAAATACGTTATAGGCCATTAATAAACAGAGTTGACGAACAGAAAGAGTATATTTCCTCTATCTGATATTATCATATATTTACTGATATTCTAAATGCGAAAGTTAGGATTGATAGATGTTACTACGTATCTTCAAAACAGACTACAATGAAATGTATGGATGTGGAATGAGTAAATGAGTTTTTTTTTAATTCAACGCGCACAAAGTCGCAGTCAAACGCTATAGATACTAAAAAGTGGAATTATGTAAAACGAGGTAGTGTATGCCAGAAACAACATTAATATGAACAATTTCAGCTTCTGTTGGGATCTTGATTTGGAAGTCTTCGTGAAGAAAATGTTGGCAACGAAAAAATTCGCAGCACATTTGGCAGTTACGTTGGAAGGGGCGACCGGGGAGAGTTAATATGCGGCTTCCTCATAAAATGCTTGGCCAATGCTGGAATAGTTCCCCTACCGGTGAAACAATGGTTTGCATTAACTTCTCCATCTCTCAAACACAAAACTATAGGAAATCTTATTACTGTAATGAATGCAAATCATTATAATATGAAGTGTTAACTACATTTATAAGATTTTTATAGTATAAGAAAACGTGCATTTTGTTATGTGAACTTCAAAACGTGTTGAAATTGTATATCATTTACTGCATTCCAATAAGTAAATGCATAAAATATGCAGCGTAGTACCATTTTTCAGGTCAAATATTTTAACACATAGATAAAAAACACTAGTATTTTATGTCTATAAGTAAAAATTAGTTGAAACTCTATTTTAATTAGTAAATATATTTATAGTCTGTTTGCTCTGTTCAAGCGGGGAACGTAAAATATCGACGAGTCAAGGTTGGATGTGAGGTCGAATAAGTTGACGCTCACCGTCTCTTCGCTTTAATTAAGTATGCGTTTTAATATGATCTCTAAAAATAAATGAGGAATGTTCACTTAAAGTATGTCTTTCAAATCGATATTTTTAACGGCTGTGACTCAATACTTCAAGGGTTTTTAGCACATGTTGAAAATTAATTTTACAAACAGAAAACATGTTTTGGAACAAACACATATTTTTGGATTACAAATCTAGGTTACTAATGTAAAATGTACTTGGGTATTTTAATCTAAAGGTTTATAGTCATTTACAGTGTTTAGTTACTTTGTATACGAGAAAATAAATTGAAAATCCTCGGTGTGTTCCTGAAGTGAATACCACGCTAAGAATTACGGCCCTTACACAAATAAAACGGGACCCGACCTTTTTGTAAAAGGCATTTCAAGGTTATATTATAAAGAAGCCTTTACTTTTTCGTTTATATTCGGCGAATCCCTAAATTCCGAGTGTATTACACAATCCGCATAAGGCGAGCCAAAACCCGTCTTTATTCAAATGTACGTGTTTAATTCTAACGAATGTTACGTCGACTAGAACGCCCACACTTGGATTGTTTCGGCATATGTAGTCTAAACAAACTAACTAAAAATGACTAAGAATAAATACCAGCATATCTCGTGTCTAGTGTGGGTTTCCAGTGCTACAAAGGTATAAAACTTTGCCATCTCATTCAGTTGCTTGATAAAAATGTAGATAACGTCTTTGTCTAGGGATAGGTCACTAAAGTAACGGTACCAAGTAAGATGTTTCTTGTATGGATCTGGCTGTTCGGGAAAGAATGATTTTTCATACGACATTTCATTCTTCACGTTCTGCGAAAACCAAATGTAATGCTGAAAATACACCTGGAATTTACTTACCAATAAGCTCGAGGCTCGAGAAGACGTTCTTTTTTTCGTAAATTACCTTATTATTGTCCTGTTTACTTTCATTACATATTAACCATATTTTTTTGTGTATCTTATGCGGAGCTTGTTTACAATAGGCAACATTTCTTTTGTATCACAATATAAAATACACTCTAATAATTTTTGACAATTGCTCAACTATTCAGTGAGTTTTGATAAAAAGTTGAAATATTTCAAACAATGAAATTGCTCCTGGAAGTCGGGAATCTACTGCGTTGAATGCTTTTTTTCATCCAGCAAGGCAATCGTCATATGTTAAACAAATTCTTATCGTAATAGTTATATCAGAATATTATTAAATCATTGCATTTGCTATTGAGATTGTATCCATATTCATGTAATTATTAAAACAAGGAGGTGTGTTGTTTAAAATCACGCGCTTGCTCGCGCGATATCTGGCGTCGCATAGAGACTGCATAATGTTTGTTTTGTAAAATGTTCTAATAAATCACCACTTTGTGCAAATGTGCAAAGTAAATAAGCGGTATATTACGTACCCATTTGTTTCATGTTTACATACGTTGCATGTGATGTTTACGTATTGCAATATCTAAATGAATTTCCATATTGCGTTTGCATTATCTGTGAACTGAACCGTTACCAACAGTTCGTACTTTTGAAAGATTATTACAAGTTCCCTATTTAGAGAATAAACACGGTGCGTTAAAGGGAATACATTATTTGTTTTAGAAGTAAAACATCACGGTGTTAATGATGTATATTTAAAAAAAACACCCTGCTTATCTTCAAGGAGGTTTTGCAGGTTATGTTAACTTTGTGGTTATCAGTAATATTTACATGGACATGAGTATAATTTATACTCACATTAAAATAAATAAAACATACAAAATACCCAATGGTGTGGCCTTTGGGTATTTCATATAGTTTTTGGGTATTTCCAAATTCACTACAGCCATGCATAGCTGTATGGTGGGGTAGTAAAATCGTGGTAGGTTCTGAGATTTTTAAACAAAAATCAGTTTGATTTACAAAAATGTTTAGCTAAAATTTACTTCACTTTACATAGAAGTTAATCAAAATGTAGTTATTATACAGTGACATACGATAATATAAGGTATCCATTAGTTTATCCGATAACAGTGTTACGTGAGTTTGCGTGTTTCGTGGAGGCGTCTGGATCGATTTCATTCTTGAAAGTTACCTGTTGCATGTCAGTTGAACCTTATTTAGCATTTTAGTAGCAGCGGTAATAGTAGTATGGATAAGTTCTGCTTAAAAATGAACTGACAATATGTTTTCATTGATGTAAGTTTAAGGGAACCTTTTTAAAAATGCATTGAAATCAGTTTTAATAAAGATATATTTTACGTTGCGGTGTCGTTGGTAATAAAACTCAAGGAGTTGACATTTTAGGAAATGCATCACTTATTAGGAAGTTGCAGGTTCATTTTATAATTTCGTCAATCTTGTATGGAAATCCCGCAAGGTTAACGAACTATAAAATCATCATATACAGCAATAAACGAGGAGTTTAATCTATATTCTATCTATACATATAATAAAATCGCAGTGTCTGTTTGTCATATTAAAAGAAAAGATTTCGGGAAGATGATGATTCCTTTGCTGATAACTGTCTGTCAGTTTGTCTGTCCGCAAGCCGTGTTTGCTCCGAGTACCTATTCTGACTTTCGCTGACATAGACGGGCATATTATAGGCTAATTTTTATCTTAATACTGCGTGGACGAAGTCGCGGGCAGCTAGTATTTCATAAAACTTTGAAAAACTCATTCCATTCTATGTAGGTGTTATCAATGGCACGGCTCGTGTGTAAACGCGTTGAATTAAAAAAAAAACCTGTTTATAATATATTAAAACATACCTACTTCACACTTGAGAACTAAGGTTGCGCCTATAACATTTTAATAACGCAATGTAAGGCGTCGGGTGTACCAATATGGCGGACGGTCTCGCAAGCCGCGGCCTTGGCCTGAGAAAGCTAGTTACAGTCAAAGACAACGTGTGTACCCGCCGAAATATTTCTTTCATATGTTATTTGTCCGCATGTTTGTATTTTTTATATCTATACTAATATTATAAAGATTTGTATTTTTTATGTATTCGATTTACGTAAATACTACTAGGCCGATTTTAAAAAATCTTTCACCATTAGAAAGGTAATTTATCTATGAGTAACATAAGCTATATTTTCTACTATTTCTTAATTCCTCATCGACGCTAGTTTTTAATTTAATAAAAGATAGAACATATTATACCCAAATGTAACCAGCGAGTATTATTAGGCTATTTTCAGAACACAGTTCATATGAACGACTTGCTTTTCCTGTTCAAAGCATACAAAAAACAAGATAACTCCCAGTTTCAGGATCTAGAGCTCAGTAAGTTGATGTTATTGGCGACAGAGTGACGCGTATTCTAACATGATTGCCGTCCAATTACAGAGCCGAGTCGAGGGACAATTGCTTTCAATTGCAATGCGGTTCTAAATGCAATTAGTATGAAACAATTACATCAATTGCTAATATCGGGGTGGGGGATTATGCGTAACGGTGTGCTAACGATAGATGATTCTAGAAAAGTAACTATTCCCATATTAGTTACCTTGGACGTCATATTTGTAATAGGGTCGTGAAAGCTTTTAGACAAAAGTGTTTTAAATTAATGTAATGACAGCGTAAGGGACCAACCCTCTGCTTCCCACACTAGGCGTGGGTGGAATACAAGATCGATTGATGTTAGATTGTGTAGGCGATGTCTTTACCTGTCTTTGACAAAAAAGAGCATTTGTTTATAAAAAATGCTGTACATATCGATACGAAAAAAATATAAAGGTGACTTATAACCGGTTTCCCAGCTAAGTTTAACCTTCCTTATTTTG